AGGATTTGGAGGATACTCCCAGCTGTGTACAACCTGTTAAAACTAAACAGTATGTTTTGGAACCGTGGAAGTGGACCATATTTTTCTCTTCGGAGTCAAAGCCGCAAAGAGTAATGATTGGGATGGTGGAGGTAGTGCCAGGTAAATGCTTTTTCTAAAGTACTTCCATGAGCCTGTACTCTTATCTTAATGAAGGACCATTTTACTACACCAAATACTGGGGAGAATGTGCATGTAATTGGTTCTTTTCTCCACAGCAATACTGCTATCTGCCAAAGGCAGACATCTTTGCCCTGGCATTAACAATGGCTCTAGCAGCAGGGTCAGGACCATTGCCTCGCAATGATGCCATGTGGCACCATATCCGCAGAGGCAACCTTCCACCAATCCCTCAGCAGCTCACACATGGCTTTCATGGACTCCTTAAGGTGAGGCTCTTCAGGGTGCAATGCAGAGGGGGAAGGGATGTCTCAGATTGGCATTTCGTTAGAAGAAACTGTAACCCTCCACTCCTTCCCCACTTCCTCTTCTAGCTCATGGTTCACCCTGACCCAGTTGCAAGACCATCCGCCACGGCTCTTACTAAACACCCAATTCTTCGGCCCTCTCTTGGAAAAGCTGCACAGCTCCAGAAGCAGCTAAATGTGGAGAAGTTTAAGACTGCCATGCTGGAAAGGTAGGGTCTATCTGGGCATAAAGAGGAGGAGCACTGCCGGACAGTGGTGCATTGAGCTGATTGCTTTAATGGCGTGGCAATTGCTCATCAGCCTTTGGTTTGAGATGGTTGGTAGAGCCCTGCAGATATCCATATCTGCAGACCACTTTTGCAGATCACAGCTCAGATGCAGATACAAATGTTTGTATCTGCGCAGGGCTCTGGTGGTAGAAGTACTGGAGTTTTGAATAGTGGGTCTCTAGGGAACTTGGTTCCCAAGTGTGTAGCTAAAGGGAGGGCATTTGAGTCATGAGTATAGTTTGGGGCGTGTGGGGGGCTGCTAGTGGCCTTAAGGGGACGGGGCTGCAGCTGAGGTTATGGGATCAGGTAAGATGTGTTGGCTCTCCTGCCACCAGCTAGGGAGGGGAAAGATGAGAGGTAAACTCTTCTCCCCATGGACAAGAGAGCATGCAGACTCTGGAAAAGCAAGGCAGAATCAGACAAGGGAATCTCCTACAGATAAGAGCATTACAACAAATGGAGACTAGCGTTGCTTTTGACTGACTGGATTCAGGGCAGCAGGGAGGAATAAACAGACTTGTATTACAGGACTACTTGTGATCTACTAATATCCAGCCACCTCTAATCTTTGAAGGAAAAAATTTAATTGGGGATGTGACAGGTTGGATCACAGAACCCCCCCCCCTTGGGAGCTGCCAACTGATGTGCCAAGACTACTTCTGCCCCTCCTTTCCCTGCCAGCTCAGGACCCCAGCACCCTGTCTTGCTGAGCCAGACACGCCCGTCTGCTCCAACAGAGACCCAGGGTCTGAATTATTTGCCCCAAAGCTGCAGACTTAACTGAAAGCAGCCTACGGAAGTGTTCTTGTCTTTAACACTCAAATGCCCAACACCCAATGGGGTCTAAACCCAAATAAATCCGTTTTACCCTGTATAAAGCTTATACAGGGTAAACTAATAAATTGTTTGCCATCTATAACACTGATAGAGAGAGATGCACAGCTGTTTGCTCCCCCCCCCCCGGTATTAATACATACTCTGGGTTAATTAATAAGTTTAAGTGATTTTATTAAATACAGAAAGTAGGACTTAAGTGGTTCCAAGTAGTAACACAGACAGAACAAAGTGAATTACTAAGTAAAATAAAATAACACACAAGTCTGTCTAATACAGTAAGAAACTGAATACAGACATAGGTGTGCGCAGCCCATTTCATTAGGCTGTGCACCCAGGGAGCCCCACCCTAGCTCTGCCCCTGCCCTGCCCTAGTCCCACCTCCATCCACTCCCTCCTACTTCCCTCCCCCTGACTTCCCCCCTCCGAACCCCCGACTTCTCCCCTGCTCCTTGTCCCCTGACTGCCCCCCTAGGACACTACCCGCTACCTGTCCCCTGACTGCCCCGACCCTTATCCACACCCCCACCCCCAGACAGACTCCCGGAACTCCCACACCCTATCCAGGCACTCCCTGCCCCCTGACAGGACCCCC